CTTCTTCCTGCTCCTCGTCCGTTTTCTCGCCGCCGTCGCGCTTCGACGCCTTGTGCGTGCTTTCTGATATACCGCCACCGTCGCGGGCGCACAGGGGAGGCCGCTTCTCGGGCTTGCGGTGGTGGCCCGCGTTGCTCTCGTCCTCGCCGATGAGCCGGAGGTACCAGGACCTGTTGCAGCGAAGCGAGTGAGTTTTCTAGTACGCGATGCGGCATGACGTGATACACGGCAGGTTATAAGAAGAGAAAGCAGAAAGAAGGGGTGGTAAAGAACGCATCATTGATTGCTTCGAAGCGTTCCATGCTTTAGGGACCGAGAAAAGGGCTAGGGGCTGATGGGGGTGAGGCAAGACTACTAACCACTCTTTAAAGGTGTATCTTCGCGGCGGCGTGTGTCGCAGGTGCTGCGTCACGCGCGTGATTTCGTCCATCAGGATGAGGTGGTACTCGGGACGCCTTTCGGGCAGTGCGGTAGGCGGGTTCTCTCGGGCGATGGAGACGGCACGGCTGGACGGCTTTGACATAGACGCCGCCGCGTGTGATCGCGCATGCTTCCCGGTCCGAGATACCGGGCCCGCCTCTCCCCTCCCGGCGTCTTCCCGAGCCTCGCGGTTGCTTTCCAAATTATCGATATCGCTATCTCCAGCAGAACCCCCCTGCCCGTCATCCTTGTCGTCTTCCTTGGGATGCAGGCGGGCGGCGCCCAGGAAGCCTGGGACGTCTTCCTCGATGTCCTCGTCGGCGAACAGCATGCCGCACGAGAGCTTGGCCAGCACCTGCTTGGTGGACTTGCGGAAGCCGTGCTCGCCGGGGAGGATGGTGACGTTCCCGAGCAGGAGGGTGCCGTCCTTGACGCCCTTGACGATAGTGTCGCCAGCATTGGAGATGAGGACGGTCATGGTGGGCAGGGCCAGGAGCGACCAGAAGACGAAGAAAGACTTGGCCGAGTTGGACACAGGCGTCAGGTCGCCGTACCCGATCGTCGTCAGCGCCGTGAAGGCGAAGTAGAAACCGTCGAAGTAACTCCATCCCTGGTACGGTGCCTCGCAGACCTGGAAGATCTTGGCACCCACCAGCCAGAGCACGACCCAGGTACTGGAGGAGATGGCCATAGCAGTCCACCTTTTCCTGGTAGATGCCCTACTTCGCGTTAGATTCTATTGGTAGTATAGGGGAACTTGCAATGTAGAAGCGGTTATACTGTAAACAGCGACAGCGGTATGAGAACCAACGAACAGATCGTGAATGAGAATGGCGCTGGAAGAAAGGAGGCTGGCGACTTACTACTTTTAATTAGCATACAAATGGCAGCGATATAAGACCGAAAAGAAGGCATTTCATGCATACCTGGCGTTGGACCTTTCGCATCAGCTGGAACTCTTTCTGACGGCGTTCTAATTCCGTCTGGTGGGATCTCGAAGGGGAATCATCCGAGCCATCGTCGACCGGCTCGAGAACATGACCATTGCCTTTCCGCTTGACGCGCCGAATCAACGAGCGCCGCTGCCTTTCGAGCATCCTCGCGTCGAGCCTATGCTTGCCCCGATCCAAGATCATGCTCCGAATGGAACCGATGACCAGACCGAGACTGATGACGCCGACGAGGGCGTAGGGCACGAGGAGGCCGCGGCCGAGCCTGGTCTGGGGAGAGATGTCGCCGAAGCCGACGGTGAAGAGGGTGGTGTCGGCCCAGTAGACGGCATCGAGGTAGTTCCAACCTTCGATGTTGGAGAAGACGAGGGCGCCTAGGAGCAGGTAGGTGAGGAAGACGATGGTCTGGAGCATGAGGGTGCGCTGGCTCATGGTCAACTCGAAGTCCTTGCCATAATGGCCGGCGCGGGCGCCCCAGACGGTGACGACCATCAAGGAGGCAACGATGAAGTAGAGGATGGCGGCGTACATGCCATAGTAGAAGGCCTGGGACCAGACGTACTCGATCTCGGGCTGGACGAGGAGGGGCCCGCCGGTGGTGGCGCACAAAGAGATGAGGCAGGCAGCCGAAATGTACCAGCCGACGATGGTGACGGGCTGGGCGACGGAGAAGCGCACCCGCTTGGTCATGTTAAGCAGCAGGAAGGCGTTGGCGACAAGGGCGATGACGAGCTGCACTCCGTTGACGGCCAGCAGCCATGGCGGGTCCTCGACGAAGACGCCCTTGGTCACGTCGGAGCCCGGCAGGATGTGCTGGCGCCAGTTCTTGACCAGCGCGCAGATACTAAAAGCTGAGGCGACCGGACCGAGGGTGCCAGCTATCATGGGGAAGGCGGCTGAGGCAAACCACCAACGACTATATCGTGTGAGAGCCCAGTCCAGCAATAGAAGTGAGTCTGAGAGGGACAGGGTTCTTGTACCTGGGATTCAGGTAGCTCTGATCGTGCATGGCACCATCTTGGCCAGCCTTGTCGACGGCCGAGCCATCGATAGCCTGTGCTTGCTCGTCGATGTTGTTGTTTAGATCTGCATCATCCATTTCGACAACTGCGCTACTCAGGTCTTCATGCTCGATCTATTAGTGTCTTGGAAAGGGTCGGTAGGGCTCGATATCTTCCGAGTCAAGTGAGCATCTTGGTATTCAACATAGGTCTAAGTAACAGACAATTAATGATATGAAGAGGACGCAAACAGCAAGTCTAAGAAGTCATTAGTTTATCTTCTATGAGACAGCAGAGGATCTATAATCTCAATAACTGATATATGTAGAGAGGGAAAATATCACGACAATGGCGAGTACAAATACGATGGCTAACACAAAATTCTTGGCAGAGATGGATCAGATGAGTCCCCTGCTAGGTGTGGGGGAACGAAAGATGACGTCGCTTGGCATCGGAGATGTGAAGCTGCCGCAGCCAGGATTGCCCTGTTAACTGCCCTGCAGATAATGCACCTAGGCGAGATAGGGCGCTGATTGGCTGGCCAGCAGAGCCCATTCAGCGCGCCATCACAACCTGAAGCTCATTAAAGCATTTTGGCTTCTCACCTGTCAAGGCCACCATCTCACCGCTGCGTTCAGCCTTCATGAAAATCGTACCTACGCTGCATAGGTAGATCAATCACATGGATCTGTCACTCATTCTCCAATGATACGAGATTTACCAACGCAGAGCTCTGCGGACACGCAAATACGAAGATGAGAAGATGGATCTCGGCTAGGCGCTCAGTTTTTACAGGCCTTCGCCGCCAGAAGCTCACATGCAATAGATGCTACAGCGTCGTCGTCAACGATGTGGAGAGGGTGAGCGTGCGTAGCGGCTTGTCAGGTACTATAACCATTGAGTAAGTTTCATTCCAATCATTACGGCACTCCTGTAGGCTGTTTCTTACCAGTCTATACGCAAAGTCTTCACAACCTCTCCAAGGTGTCCTCGTTGGAACCCCTGTTAGTCTATCTGCCGCCCTACTCGACCGCCTTTTCAGACGAGCCCGTGCAACTACCGGCGTTCATGCAGAGGCGGCCGACGGCGGTGATCAACTACCGCTGGGAAGGCTTTCCCGCAGAGGAGGAGGAGGAAGAGCCGCCGCAATCGGGAGAGGACGACGAAAGATCTCCTCACCTGTCATGGCCGACGCCGATCCACGACGCGGCCAAGGCGTACGACTGGATCGTCGAGAACCTCGGGCCGTCGACGTACACGCGCCGCGACGTGTACCTGTACGGGTCGTATCTGGGCGCGTCGCTGGCTACGTCGCTGGCACTGACCGAGACGCACCCGCACGCGCGCATGGGCGTGCGCGGCTGCGTCGCCTACAACGGCGTCTACGATTGGACCTCGGTCCTGCCCGACCACCCCGTCAACAGCCGCCGGCAGGCGTCGGGCGGCGCGCCTGACTTCCTGGCCGACATCCTGTCGCAGCCCGAGGAGCCCGCCTTCCGCGCCCTGCGCCGCCGCGCCGAGGCCCTCTTCGCCCGCCCCGGCAACCTCTTCGACCCCTTCGCCAGCCCCTGCCTCTTCTTCCACACCCCGGGCCTGCTCGTGCCGCCCTCGTTTAACGAGTCCGCTCTCCCATCGCCGGAGTCGGAGTCGGACGACGGCGAGGTGGACGTGCTGTCACTACTACTACCGCCCGAAGAGGGCCCGGTGCCGCTCAAGGCGCCGCGCCGGAGCGCGCTCGTCTTCCCGCCGCGCAAGTCGACGCTCAAGATCCCCGAGGCCCTGCTGCTGCACTCGCCGGCGCCGTCGCTGCTGTTCCACGGGGGCAGGCGGCAGCGGCGGCGGCGGCGGCGGCCCGCCAAGGGCCAGGAGAACAGCTTCTCGGCGCACGCCGAGGCGCTCGCGGCGCTGATGCGCCGCAGCATCGACAAGGTCGAGCTCAAGGAGCGCGCGCGCTGGGACGACGACTTCGACGGCTGGGACGGCGAGGCCGAGCGCCGCGTCTGCGCCCGCTGCGTCGGCCGCAGCCCGGATGACCTGTGGGAGCTCGACGGCGAGGCGGACGAGATGGCTGCTGCCTGGCTCGAGGATCGTATCGCGCAGGCGAGGTGACGGGCGCTGCTCGACTGCTCGTGTCCTGAGACTCCTAGACCTTGATGGCTCTGACGTGAAGATACACGTCATTGCTCGATTCTACTCATGTACTTGTAGAAGTGATGGGGAATCGGCATTGAATACTTCAAGGGTGCATGGTGTCATTTGGTATCCCTTCGACCGTGGCGATTACAAGACTTAGATAGACCTTATATATCAATTATAAACCTGATATCTAGCTCAAACCTAATTCTAGAAGCTGGAAGTTGGAAGTTGGTATCTGTCCTCAAAGGTGCACCTACCTTGAAGTTATTTAAGGATCGGCTAGCGCACCCTCAATTGCCATTTATTCCAATTGCTTGCCCTTATACTCGACCATATTTTTCCGCCTTTTTTTTTTAATCTCCGTCGTTTTTCCTTTGACCCCTTAACGCCACTCAATCTTTCGGAGGTAACCTAGAAGTGAGTCAATTTAGCAGCTGGTGGGGCAGTTCTTAGCATATAGGGCACATTAGCAATGAAAAAATTTACCAGCAGGGGTCTGATGGTCTAGTGGTAGGATTCTCGCTTTGGGTCATAACGTCGTCGGGTTTGTCGATGGAAACACTGCGAGAGGTCCCGGGTTCAATCCCCGGTCAGACCCGTCCCGTTACGCATTTTTAGGTTTCTTCATCTTATAAGAACTGCAGGAATGGGATGTAGATTCGTGTGATGAGGTTTGAAACGATTTTTGTCCATGAGAAGATGTGGGAGGCTGATCATGGTAGTATTGGTGAGGGGAATTATGTCATGTGGTCCAGGTATATGAGAACGGGACACCAGATTATTTATCCAATTCTAATGTCAATTTTTTTCTCTCAAATTATAGATTGAAAACAGTGAATTTCTCGCGAAAGTAGCGTAGAGAATGGTCGAGATCACTACTCACGGTGATGAGGAAAGCTGCAGGTTCTGGGAGTGGAACAGTTGACAGTCAACATCCCCAAGGGGCTTGCATGGGACCAAACATCTATAAAAGAGATCGCAAATGACAACGGTCCAGCTAGGATAAATATACAGTATTATAATGCAGAGACCCCTATCTACCTAGACGTATATATACCTATTACGATGCTATAGCCAATTCCCCATCTACCATGTCTAACCGGTGGCCCCCTTCTTTACCTAGGTATATACAAGATTTCTCTATATGCCGCCACTAAATAGAAAAAGATGGGCAAAAGTATGCATGCACGCGTCCCCTGATTTGGGTATATACGAAAATCACCTTCGCCTCCACCAGGCCTTTTTCTTCTCGCCGTATCCTTCTTCCTGGACGTTGTGCTGGCCGACGATGGTCAGGAAGACCTGGTCGAGGGTGGTGGGCGTGCACGAGAAGTGCTCGATGCCGAGCTCGTCCTTGTGCTCCTCGAGGACGACGATGAGGCGGCCGACGGCGCTACTCGCATTCGCCTCGTCGGCGCCGGCGATGGCGGCGGCCGGCACCGAGAAGCGCATCTGGCCGTGGTACGTCTTCTGCTCGACGGTAGCGGCGGGCCAGGTGTCGAGGACCCAGCGACGCACGCGCTCGGCCTCCTCGGGCGTCGAGTGCGGCGCCGAGCGGCTGACGAGGTGCACGTGCAGGGCGTCGCCGAAGCGGCGGCGCAGGCCGTCCGTGGACCCCATGGCGAGCATGCGGCGCGCGAGGATGCCGGCGCGGTCGGCGAGCGCGTCCGCCTCCTCCATGCTGTGCGTCGTCAGCAGGATGGAGCGCCCCGGCACGACGGCGTGCAGCGTGCGCCACATGACGCGCTTGGCCGCCGCGTCGAGCCCCGACGACGGCTCGTCCAGCAGCACCACGCTCGGGTTGCCCATGAGCGCGATGCCCAGCGACAGCTTGCGCTTGTTGCCGCCCGACAGCGCGTGCGCCATGCGCGTCGCGAACGCTTCGAGGCCCACCGCCCGCAGCACCGCCCGCACGTTGTGGTCGATGTCCGGGATCCCGCGGATCCGCGCGTAGAACCGCAGGTGCTCCAGCACCGTCATCGAATCGATCGCGTCGAACTGCGGGCACACGCCTAGGTGCGCTCGGGCTTGTGCGCGCCGCTTGCTGACCGACGTGTTCTCCACCAGCACGTCGCCTCCGTTGTGGCTCGGCTGGATGTCGCCCCGGATCAGCGAGATGGTCGTCGACTTGCCTGCGCCGTTGGGCCCCAGCAGCGCGAAGACCTCGCTGTGCTGCACGCCGAACGTGACGTTGTCCACGGCCGTGTTCTTGCCGAACGTCTTCGTCAGGTGCAGCACCCGGAGCCCGTCGCTCTCCTGCGGCGTGCTGGTCACGCGGACGAGCTCGTTAGCTACCTCTGCATCTGAGACGGCTGCGTCTTCCGAAGACGACGGCTTCTTTTGCGTGAGACGGTTGAGGAGAGTGCGCCCGGACCCGCTGTCGTGCCACAGCAGGAAGCCGAACAAGAGGACGGACTGCACGACTAGGTACAGGATCGGCCCGCCGTAGGCAATCAGAGCCCCGGGGTTGCCTTGGACCTCGTCGCCATCGCATGTCACCGAGAATAGGTTGAGGGCCAGGAACATGGCCCGCACGACCGAGCCGATGGGCACGAAAATCGATATCACGAAGTGCGCAACCAATATCGACTGATCTATTTCGTTGACTGGCGCGTACGTGATAACGCACAGGTACGCGATCAGGTAGATCAGAAACCCGATGGCTTGGCCGGCTGCCGAGAAGGCGTACGTCGAGAGCTGGTTGCCGCAGAACAGAGAGATGACATAAGACAACAAGATAGAAGCTAAGCCGTACAGCATGAAGATTACGAAGAGATACGCGACGTTGTACCAGACGTCCGACTGCGCTGCAAATATGCCGGTGGCGAGGGCGGACGAGACGAGGGAGATGGCGAAGTCGAATAGGGTATACGACACCCAGAGCGGAAGGGATCGTACTCCGTTCGAGTACTGTAAGCCGCGGACGTTCCGCCGGCGCTCGATGTTAGGGTAGAGGCCGAAGAAGGCGGGGTAGACGGACATGGCCAAGCAAAAGTAGATGAGCAGCTTCAAGGAATCGCCCGTTGACGGATTCCACGGGGTATCAAACGGCGCGTAAGCGGTAGCGATGCTGGTGTTACTCAACATGATGTCGAGAGCATTTTGACTAAAGATGGAAGTCAACACGTCGCCCCCATCTGCCTTGTACGTGATGACCGGGAGCGAATTTGCATCACCGAGCCACCATCCGCCAGGCTTGATATCCTTTCGCCTTTGCTGGACGAAGGTGTTGAAGTCGTCTAGAGACTCGACCGGACGGATGCTTTCAAAGAAAGAAGATGCCGAACTCGAGCTACCCGCTGAGCTTGAGTTACTTGCCGCGTCTGCAATATCTCTTGCCTGATTCTGGCCCTGACTTTGGTTGTTCTGATTTTGAACTTGGAGAATTGGAAGAAAAAGGCTTTGCGTAGCGGGATTGTTGACTAGCGCCGAAGGACCGGCGACCAAGAACAGTTCGTCATAGAGATTTGAAGAGCCCGATGAGTCGGACGTGTTCTGGTTAGCTGGGCTGCACCCGACAGGATGCTGGTTTGTGACATAGAGGGACGTGAGAGCCGCGGCGATGATCGGAATCAGGAAAGCCGCTACGTAGGGGAACCAATTTGTCTTGAATATGGTGCAGCGCTTCCTGAAAAGCACTTGTGTCTGCTTCATGTAACCGATTGGCTGTCCAGATAGCAATTCCAGCCCGTCTTTCTCGAGCTCGCTGGGCGGCGCGGTATTGTCGGAGCTCAGATGTTTGTCATTCCCAGCTTCGCTGGATGATACAGTCTGAGGCGGTGACACGGCGCTCTCTCCTTTGACTTCCTCGGCGACCTGTAAGAAGACGTCCTCGATAGTGGGGTTGGAAAACTTGTAATCGTGGATTCCCGCGGCTTCCAGCGCTCGTATCACATCCGCGGCTAGGCTAGAAGATGGTGCAATATAGCTGATCACATCGAATCCTGTCTTGCGAGTGACATTTGGAACATCTGGCGGGTCCTTGATTTCGCTAGCGTTGAAAACGTGCACTCGGTAGCCAGCACCCAGCCTATCCTTGAGTTCGACAGAGGACCCTTCAGCTCGCAGCGTGCCTTTGGAGAGGATGGCAATGTGGTCGGCGAGAAGATCGGCCTCGTCGAGGAAATGAGTGGTAAGAATGATGGTTCGTCTTCCACGTTCGGCAAGGAGGATGTCCCAGATCTTTCGCCGGGAGAGAGGGTCAATTCCGGACGAGACCTCGTCGACGCAACACACGGCGCTGCCTCCTGTCAGCATCATTCCTAGCTGCAGCTTTCGTTTTTGGCCACCAGAAAGCGTCTTGGACATGGCCTTAATTTTAGGTTCTAGGTCCACGGCCGTGGCCAAGTCACGGATCTCCTTCTTCGATGCGGTATTTAACGGAGACTTGAGCCGATTGAAAACTCTGATATGTTCTTCTACCGTCAATTCATCCCAGAGCACGTTCTTCTGCGGCGCGATACCTAAGCCCCCGGTGCCATCGATCGTGATATCGCCACCAGTCAATTTGCTGATGCCTGCAATTGAGTCAAGTGTCGTACTTTTTCCGCTGCCATTGGCACCGAGCAGAGCAAGAATTTGTCCCCTCCTCGCAGTAAGACTCAAGTTGTCGACGGCAACGACGGGCTCCTTGGGCCTCGAGCTGAAGGAAAACCATCGGGCTAGAGGGTTGGGGAAATATATCTTGGTGAAGCCCTCCAACCGCACGGCAGCCTGCGGTGCCGTATCGGCAGACTGGCCTTGGAGAATCGTACGGCCCTTCGTGGTAGTGCCATGGAAAACGCGCTCGAGGTAGGCGCCGAGGACGGGATAGACAATAATCTGAATGCCGAGAAATACCCAGAAAATAATCCCAGGCAGATTCCAGGGGTTGTCAGGTGGGTTCCTGATTAGATCTGCTGGATATGAGTGAACCTCATATCTGGCTATGTAAGTCATAAACCAGACGAAATTACAAGGCGTCTATAGTAACAGTTAGGTTAATAATTATTCGGTAGATGTCAAAGGATTAAGGGCACATCCTGCACACTAAGGCTTCCTAGTCCTTGATAGGACAGTATTGGGGCGGACGAAGAACTTCTGGTTTGAGGGGAAAAGACATACAAAAAGCAGACTAAGAGTTGTGACCGTCGCAGTACTAGGAGAGGTCAACGTCTGAGCTAGAATTGCCAGCAGAATATACGCTATCGTTGTCACAACTCCCGACAACTGCGATCTGCTGAAGAAAGCACCGCCGAGGATGGATAGCGAGGCCAGAGCGATGCCAGTCAGTATAAAGTAGAGGAGCACGACTGCGACGTTCGTGTTGGCCCAGACTCCGAGTGAGATGATGATCGAACCAATGACCCAGCCGGGAAGGTAGACGAAGGTGAAGGCGAGGTGGTACGAGAGGAGTCTCGCGACCTGGGCTTGCCACCTGTGCTTGGTCGGCATCGTGGCGTCCAGCAGCTGAGACATGCCTATCTCTCTTTCCGTCGCCATGAGCCCCGTCATGTGGTAGCAGATCCCGATGACGACGACGAAAAAGGACACGGACAGAAAATTCGTAAGCGACGACTGGTACATCCGACGGACGCTCGCCTCGCGCTCCTCCTCCGT